GGCGTTTCCCTGCGCGCCCATCAGGCGGGGGGGGCAGACATCCCCAACATGACATCATCACATTGGGGATTCCCCGCTCCCTCCGGGAACGCCCCCCAAAGTCCCCCGCTGGGGGCTAAAATGGACTTGACAACCCTATTTGCAACCCACCTGAGGGTCTTGATCTGTGGGTTGAAGACTACTGGCCTAGGTGTATAGTTATTTAGATATGTGCATATCTTGAATTGTTTGCCATTATGAAAGTGGCCAGTCTTGAAATCATGACAGAAGTGCAAAAGCACCTTTGAGATATTGAAACCCTAATCCTTGCCTTCTTCTGCAAAGTAACTAAATGTAAACAAACCTGAGCTTGCTCCAGCTACAGCATTTTGTGCTTCCCAAATGCACACCAACTCTTTTCTGTTTGCAGCCACAGCACTCAGGGGGAACTGGCAGTAGCCCCCACCCCCACCCCATTTTGATGTCCTTAAACCATCCTATGGTGCCATTGTGAGGTCTCTTGTAAAAATCACATTAGCCAATAGCAGTTCCATGGGGCGGTTTCAGGATACAAAAACAGCCAGGGGGGCAGCACAGCCATTGTGTGTGTGATACAAAGTCCTCATGTTGTTCCTCCAAAACACAAGGATTTTGTGATGTGGAAAACCCACATTTTCCAGTGAAAAAAATTGTCATGAAAGGGATCCCTTGCTTGTTTGTCTTGGGCTATTTCTTGCTATTTGCCTATCATAATGAGCAAATTACAACAATGAGTTTTGAACAATTCTTTGGCAATATGACTGACAACAAATAAATATTATTGTGGCAGTATGCTCGTCTTCATCATTTTTATCATCAGCAAAAGAATGATCTCATCAAGATACTTTGAAATCCCTGGAAAACAAACACACCAGCACCTGACATCATACATCCACCCTGCTATTACCCATCCCCATTCATCCAGGGTGTCTTCTGTACATCAGAGTTCTTTGTCTCTGCCACGCTAGAGGTTCCCCATTCTGCAAATCTACAGTTTCAGTGACATAAAGTCAAAGTTTTATTGTGCCATTAGCTTTGATCGAAGGCATTGCTGAAAGTTGTTCGGGAATTAAATATCTAAAACAAGCTATTTTGAAGCACAGGGCCTTCACTATTTCATGTCCAGAATGAAGAAATTTCATCTTAGAGAGACCAAGCTGTCTTTCGCACCATATGGCTAATGGTAGTGCATAGCAATTAGCTGGGCTGATTAATGGGGAACAGACTCTAATTTTATGCTTATAATTGAGGCTGCATTTGAACCCCTGGTGCAGATTCAGCACATCCCAACTTCCACTTACAAAAGGCACGAAGGTAAGTGGAAGAGAAAGCAAGAACAGTCCTCCACTAAAACAAACAAAAAACCCTTCTGAAAGAGAATTTCAGTTTGAATTTGATCACAGTTCTGTGTAAAAAGATGAGGCAGCCTGATTAATCAACAGCATCTTTTATATTTCTGTTGGGATCTGGGAACATTCACTTCTACTTTTGGCTCTGATTTTTATTTTTAATATGGCTTTGCCTTCTTTTTTAAAGCAAATTCTGGAAACGGTACCCCACTCTGCCCATGAGGGTTTGGGAAACTGGAATATCTATTGCATATTAAGAATATAAATTTAGTATGCCAACAAAATTGGCATGGAATAATGTTTTCATGACAAGGTCTGTTGGCAGCAGGGGAATTTGTTGACACGAGTATTTGCTGGCTAAGATTCCAGCCTTGTCATATTTATAGAAAATTTCAGCATATCTAAAATAAATATGTAGATCTTTCTATATTTGAAAAAGAACAAAATAATATGCTGGCCATAGACATGAATACAAGTTTTGTGGGTGTTAAAATGACAACTTCCATCTGCTCACACTGAAGGCAAAGGAAATGTCATTGCTATCTTGAATAAAACATAACTGCTCTCTGATATGGATGCAACTCAAAGTTTTGCACATCTTAACCTAATTAATATAACTAGACAAATAGTTAATGGCAAATAATTTTAAATTCCTCAGAATGATGTGTAACTTCACCAGCCCCTCCCCAGAAAAAAAAAGTATTCTTTTTATGTGTGTGTGCGCGCGCCTGTAAATGTGTGTGTACCTGGAAGTCATGGCGACCTCTGGTGACTGACCCCTACTGGGGGCCTGGAGGATATTCAGAGAGGTAGCCTGCCCCCGCCTCCCGACTGCTGGTATTCCAAGGAGGTCTCCCATCCAAGTACTTGCCAGAGTCAACCCTGCTTAGCTTCCGAGATCTGACAAGATCAGGTTTGCCTGGGCTATCCAGGTCAGGGCACCCAGAAAATCTTTGTTGGGGATGCATTAAGGTGCCACCTCAGGAGGGTGGGGTTTGAGGAGGGGAGAGGAGGGGCTCCTCCGCAGAGTGTGGGCAGTCATTTTTCATTCTGGGCACAGGTCTTTTAGCCACCTCTGGAGCAGCTCGCATGAGATGGGCTTGGCGCTGACCTTTCTCCCCCGCCCTTTGGACCTTGGCACTTGCAGGGTCAGCGTCAGGTAATCCTCTCTACAAGCCTTTTTCCCTTTGGCAGCAGCAGCCTGGACAGTTGCCCTGCCTTGCCAGTGTCCTGCACCCGTTGGTCATCCCCTTCTTAGCCTCCTTTTCTTCACCATGTCACCTCCCCCGATTGAAGACAAACAGTCACCTGACTGAACCCAGCTGGAGCTCAGAAGCAGCAAGCAGCCAGTCCACCTGGCTGGCTGAGTGAACCTCTCTCACACGTGTGCCCCTTCCTGACCCTTCCCTCCCTCCCTTCCTGCCCTCTTAGTTACCCCACCGACCAAGGGAGCCTGGCTGAGCAAGCAGTGCCAGCATCATGGGACAGTGCTGCTGAGTATCAGGAGCCCTTGCCGGACTGTGTTGAGGGGGTAGGAAGTGGAGAAGGTGAGCACAGCTGTTTGGGGAGTGGGCCAGGTTATTGGGGGGAGGTGTTGGGCAGTCATGGGGCCCCCTATGCGAACAGGCCTAAACTTCATCTACTTTCTTGGAATTGTATCTATTACATGTATTTTGAATAGGATTGTCAATTTTCACCCAAAAAACAGACACTCTGGATCTTTAAGATCTGCATAACATGGAGAAAAGCAGCACATATTGATTTTCCAGCATAGTGCAAAATTTACCTGTTACTTATCTTGCAGGAATATAGAGTCCCTGTCAGTGGGGTTGGGGTAAGAATAAAAGAGATCAGTTTCTTGGTTTGAGAACCCTAGCTTTCAAGAAAGAAATGCATTGCTCCGTAGCTGATCCCCAGTTATACACAGAGGTCATTTCGGGGGGAATCGCGGGGTTCGCAGTTCCCCCGGGTGAGGTACGGGGGCGGAGCACATGATGAAGCCCCGCCCCCTGCTTCCGGCCACCCCGTTTCCGGCCCTCATTCAGCCAGGAGGAGGCAGGAGAAGAGGGAGGGTAAGTTGCTTCCTCCCTGCCTCTCCCCACCCCTGCCTGCCTGGGGCCAGGGAGGGCCTTCGCGGGGCTTCCTTGCACTCCCGCCGGCCTTGCTGGGACCGTTGGGGGCGGGGGGTGTGGCCTTATGACACACTTCCGGTGATGTCAGGGGGTGTGGCATATGCTAATGAGTTATGCTAATGAGTCCCCCTAGCTCTTTTTCTATGAAACGATCCCTGGTTATACACCACAATGGTACTCATGGTTGTCATCTCAAAAATCTTTCTCTATACCAGATTGGCCTAATCTCATTGGAAGCTAAGCAGGGTCAGCCCTGGTAAGTATTTAGATGGGAGATCTCCAAGGAATACCAGTGTCGTGATGTGGAGGCAGGCAATGGCAAACCACCTCTGAACATCTCTTGCCTTAAAACCCCACGGGGTCACCACAAGTCAGCTAAGACTTGACGGCACTTTCCACCACCACTCCAAATCCTCAAATATGTAAAAAAAAAAACAACCCTCACTGGCCCCATCTACACTGCTGTGTTATAGCCATTAATATGAGTCTATTAAAATTTTGTTTCTGTGATCTAGACTTGCTAAGGGAAAGGGGAGCCTGACCCATTCCAGAGGTGTGTACTACAGCAAACA